TGTTACACTTTTTAAGCAGTATATACAAAATAAAAGTCCCGAACTACTGTTGGGCTTTAAAGAATAAAGCTGATGCATGCTGGGACTGTGGGCAGAGATCATCACCAAAACTTATGTCAAGATCTGTGGTTTTGCATCGTTCTTGTTTGCTGCTTTGCTTTATTCTTGTTGTTTTTCTTGTTTTCAGTGTCTCCTTGAGTTATCAGCCATGTTCATCAGAAGTGTCCACTTTAATCACTCCTCCCAGCATACTTTAACTTCCGGTTCTCATTCACTCTTCAGTCTGCCATGCTGTCTGTTTGCCTTTCCCTGTGTGTGCCTTGTTATTACTTTTGCATTTGCTTGTTGCCCTTTCAGCTGTTTATTCTTGTGATGAAAACTCTCATTTGTTTTCTAGTCCTTGTGTAGCAGTGACGGTAGTCTCTCACTACTTTGCGGTGGTTCGTGTTTCGTGGACTCGCTCTATTTTTTCAAAGTAAGATTGGACATGACACACAATTGGCTGATTGATGGATGAGCCACTGCAGCTGATCAGCTGATCTCTGCAAAGCAGAGAAGTGGGCGTGTCCGAGAGTGCGGCCATAGGTAGGGAGCTGAAATCATGACATTCTGTGCTCTTTTAGAGTGTTTAGAGTTTAAAAACATTGTTTAGAATATTGCAAGAGTGTGGAAAGGGTTTAAAACACCTTTATATATATAAACAGTGAGGAAAATAAGTATTTGAACACCCTGCGACTTTGCAAGTTCTCTCACTTAGAAATCATGGAGGGGTCTGAAATTTTCATCTTAGGTGCATGTCCACTGTGAGAGACATAATCTAAAAAAATCTGGAAATCAATGTAAGATTTTTTTAAATAATTTATTTGTGTGTTACTGTTGCAAATATTTGAACACCTGCCAATCACCAACAATGCTGGCCCTCAAAGACCTGTTAGTCCTCCTCTATAAAGTCCACCTCCACTCCACTTATTATTCTAAATTAGAAGCACCTGTTTGAGGTCGTTAGCTGCATAAAGACACCGGTCCACCCCACACAATCAGTAAGACTCCAACTACTAACATGGCTAAGACCAAAGAGCTGTCCAAAGACACCAGATACAAAATTGTAGACCTCCACAAGGCTGGAAAGGGCTACGGGACAATTGCCAAGCAGCTTGGTGAAAAAAGATCAACTGTTGGAACAATTATTAGAAAATGGAAGACGCTAAACATGACTGTCAATCTCCATTGGACTGGGGCTCCATGCAAGATCTCACCTCGTGGCATATCAATAATCCTAAGAAAGGTGAGGAATCAGCCCAGAACTACACGAGAGGAGCTGGTCAATGACCTGAAGAGAGCTGGCACCATTGGTTCCAAGGTTACTGTGGGTAATGCACTAAGACATCACAGTTTAAAATCATGCATGGCGCGGAAGGTTCCCCTGCTTAAATCAGCACATGTCCAGGCCCGTCTTAAGTT